TGTGTTTATCTTTTTGTCTTTTTCTTTTTTTCTTTTTGCTTTCTTTCTTCTTTCTTTCTTTGAAGTCAAGTATTTAGTTGATTATGCTGTTGTTGTTTACCTTTCTTCTTTATTTATTTATTTATTTTTTTATATTATTATTTTTTTTTTTTTTTTTTGTCAAGAAAAGTATTTTGTTGTTTACGCTGTGATGCATTTCTTCTCCTTCTTCTTCTTCTTCTTCTTTTCTTCTTCTTTTTTTCTTCTTCTTTCTTTTTCTTCATCTTCTTCATCTCCTTCTTCTTCTTCTTCTTCGTCTTCTTCTTCATCTTCTTCTTCTCCTTCTTCTTCTTCTGCTTTCTTCTTTTTCTTCTTCTTCTTCTTATTCTTTCTCTTCTTCTCTTCTTCTTCTTTCTCCTTCTTCCTTCTTCTTCTCCTCCTCTTCTTCTTCTTCTTCTTCTTCTTCTTCTTCTTCTTTCTTCTTCTTCTTCTTCCTCTCTTCTCTTTTTCTTCTCTTCTTTCTCTCTTCTTCTTCTTCTTTTTGTATTTTGAAGAAAAAAAATGGTGATTACTCTGTGATGTATTTATCTTTTTCCTTTCTTCTTTCTTCTTCTTCTCCTTCTTCTTTTCTCCTCCTTCTTCTTCTCCTCCTTTCTTCTTCTTCTTCTTCTTCTTCTTCTTCTTCTTCTTCCTTCTTCTTTTCTTCTTCTTCTTCTTCTTCTTCTTCTTTTCTTTTTCTTCATCTTCTTCTTATCTCCTTTCTTCTTCTTCTTCTTCATCTTCTTCTTCTTCCTTCTTTCTTCTTCTTCTTTTTCTTCTTCTTTCTTTCTTCTCCCTCTTCTTCTCTACTTTATTCTTCTCCTTCTTCTCCTTCTTCTTCTTCTCCTTCTTCATCTTCTTCTTCTTCTTCTCCTTCTTCTCCTTCATCTTCTTCTTCTTCTTTTTGTATTTTGAAGAAAAAAAAATATTGATTACCCTGTGATGTATTTATCTTTTTTCCTTCTTTCTTTCTTCTTCGATAATTTCTTGGCTTTTGCGGATCATCTTATCACGTGTCAAAGTAAAGGATTTCTTAAAAGAATGAGGAAAAAGTCAAATAATGTGAATCATAACTTACGAATAAGCAAATTTGCATCTTATGAAAAAAATAAATAAATAAAATGGTCAAAATAAAATAATTTACGAATAAGCAAATTTGTATCTTATGAAAAAAATAAAAATAAAAATGGTCAAAAATAAAATAATTTACGAATAAGCAAAATTGTATCTTATGAAAAAAAAAATAAATAAAATGGTCAAAATAAAATAATTTACGAATAAGCAAAATTGTATCTTATGAAAAAAATAAATAAATAAAATGGTCAAAATAAAATAATTTACGAATAAGCAAATGTGTATCTTATGAAAAAAATAAATAAATAAATATAATGGTCGATAACATGTGCCTGTCATGTCTTCATCATATCTTACAGTATATTACGAACACAGAGTGACATGTGTACATAAATATTTACTTCCCCGGCCTGTTGCCTAGCTGATTAAAGAAGTATGATAAATGAATTTTTATAACTATATTATTTTGTATATCCATTTGTTACGATGGATAATCCTTTGATGTGCATATTGTCTGTCTATGGGTGTGTGGTAGGTCTGAGTGTGTGTATTCTGTGTGTAAACACTCTTCTGTGTGTCATCGGATGTGTGTACTCTGTGTGTATGTCGTCCCCATGTGATGTACCCCGGTGTGTACCTGGTGCGTGGTGTGACCAGTGATATCTATATGGTGTGTGTGTTACATATGTTAGTCCTGAATGTGTGATTTGATCTGTGGTAACTGTGTAGTGTCTGTGTAAGATGTAATCTATGTGTGTTGCACAACTCTATGACAAAAACCCAAGTAAACAGTGGTATGTGCGTATCCCTGAATGTGCGTTATCTGACTGTGTATGTGTGATACTCATTAACTATTGCTTTATCCCAAAATGTAACGGATGTGCGTGGTCAAATTTATACGAATCGTCCTTCCGTCTGTAATCTGCTATCATGTGTGTGTGTATTGATTAAACGTGTGAGTTGTGCATGTGTCTCTCGTTTCTGTCCACGTTTGTTCGGACGTAGCTTCCTGATGCCTACCATAAATCCATCCCAACTGATGTGTTAGTCCCTGTATTACAGTTGTATCTATGTGTGTTCGTGTCCTCACTCGCCAGACACGATGATCTTGCTGCTTAGATGATGTCTATCGTGTGTATGTTGTATCGATTGTGAGTCTGTGTAAGTGTATCGTGGTGGTGCTGTACGGAAATGACCTTGCCTGTATAGTGTAGTTGCTGAAGAAGACACGCAGTCCTGCCAGAATGTCTGAGTCTGCATATATAGTGTGATCGCTGTCGATAGCTATTTGAGCTGCTGTGTATCTGTGTGTGTGTAAGTGTCATCTGTGTCTGGTAAGTGTGTCTTGATGCTAAGTGCTTAGCCTCATGTGTATGTTGTGTGACGAAATGTGTGTATCTCGTGTCGCTAATGTGTGGTGTAACATAGTCTGTGTAAGTTGTATCTGCGTGTGTGCATATGTGACGTGCTGTATGTGTGTCTGAGAAACGAAAATCTGCATATATGTGTGAGTGTGTGTATCTGTGTTGGTGTCTGTGTAAATGGTCTTGTAAGGTGTATCACTGTGTGGTATGTGAACTTGGTGTATGTCTGAACTGTGCTTGGTGATGCTGTGCTGGCATATTGTGCCGTCGGTGTGCTCTGGTCGTAAAGCTGTATCTTGTTAATATCTTTTGTGTCATGGGTACCATTGGTACACCGATGTTGATATTGTGTGTTGCGTGTAGTACTGACGTCTGCATATATACTGTGATGTGTATCGTGCGAAGTGTGATTGATCATCTGTGTAGTTGTCTGTGTAAGTGTCAAGGATATATGTGTATGTGCGTATGGTCTGAAGGTGGTGTGTATCTGTTGGATGTGTGTTGTGTCTGTGTAAATGTTATCTATGGTGTTAATGTATGGGAGGCATGACCGCACGTATATAATCCGTGATCATGGTGTGGTGGATCTTAGCAGTTGTGTCTGAAGTCTGGCATGATATGGGTGTATGCGTGGGGGCGCTGCTGATCCATCATCAGGGCGTGTAGCGAGCTCAATCAATTGGTGTACAAAAACCATGTTGAGTGTGTTTGATACTTGTGTGCCAAACTTCACTAAACACAAACTCATGTGTACTGTGTAAGCTGTATTCTATGTGTGTGATAAATAGAACGTCAGAAAAGCATCACAGTTTATAGATCAATTAGGGCACACATATCATGAAAACCTATAAATGCTACCAGTCCCTCCATAATACTAAATAAATAGATGTGTGAAATGCTATAAGAGACGCGATCCGCAAATGACTGATGTTGCGCAACATCGCTGTACTCTGGTGTACACCTGTCTGACATCGTGGAGTGTATTATGTATCGTGTTGTTTGTGCGTGCGCGTTCTGCCTACATGTTGTATTACGTGTGTATGTAACTAACGTGTGTTCTGAGTCTGATATATATGTGGTGTCAATGTTGAGTATATAGTATCTATGTATCTTTCTCTCTGAGTGAGTGACGTAGTATATGTAGGTGTGTTGTGCCATGAATATAAGTACAAACATAACTTCTAGCGCTACGAA